CCCCCCCCCCCCCCAATATGAGACAAATTTTGCTGTTGTGTATTGGCACCTGAACAAAATGATTATTTTACAGTCGTATTGATAAGTGTAATAATTATTTGCTCTATTAACTTACATAATTAGAGGAATATGATTCTTAAATATTTATCACAAACATATTTATAATTTGAATCGAAAATAATGGGTGTAAATGGGGACTCATACAGTGTATTCGCGTGTGAATGATACAAGTAGCAAAATAAATTAAATAATGAAAAGCATATAAGAAACAATAACTTTGCCGTTGTCACTGGCGGATGTACATGGACACTTATGAGTGCTTGAGCACCTATTACTTTTAACCAAATTTAGTAAATTTATATTGGTAATTATAAAAATAATTAGATAAATACAGAGTGAGCATCCACAACTAAATTCATTTTTCCTCTTCTTTCGAATTTTTATCGACGAGCACTCATCATTTTAAAATTTTGGATCCGCCCGTTGTGTTTCAAGGATGATTGTGAATTTGGCGCCCCTATTCTCCTTTATGGCTATACAGCTGAGCTAGTTACTTTGGTAACAGATCATGTGTTCAATTGTCACTACCATCGAAAATAGCTTTACTCTAGAAATAGGTTACGATTGCTTAACCAAGGTGGGTTATAGACTTATAATCATGGCCACTACGAACACGTTAACTTCAGTGGTGGGTGGATAACTGTTAAAAAATATATTTTCATGGCCATATATATATATATATATATATAAAATGTATTTATATGTATTTCACCTTAAATTTCGATATATTAATATACATTAAATTGATATTGGTTAATTCGTGGTATAATGACCGAAGCATGTAACTTACTAAGGTCACCTAAGTATACACTAAAGTTAAATGAACGAACATCTCTGCATAAAAGGTACATTAGATATATTAAAAATATATGAAATAGTGAAACAATCAATTCATTACTAGTATTTGTTATTCTAAGACGAAGAATTAATATAACACTTATTCATTATAACTTTTGAAAGATAAACTCCTACTAAGAGACATCTTCAAAATCTAATTGTTCCCTTATCCACACTCTCTCCCATTGTCCTTTAGCACATCTGGCTAACTCGCAATCACAATGTTTTTAATGACACAACTTTAAGTATTTCTATTCGGAACATATTACTAATATGACATCACTTACATGTTTGACTACTACATGTCACACTTCTTTTTTCCCGAGGGAATAGGGAGTTTTTTCAATTAAAGTGACATTAATCGAAATGGAATTATTTATTTTTTTAGAGTCGCCACTTGAAATAATTTATGGTGTCCCAAGTCACCGGTTTTTAGATCCCAAAATCGAAGAAATTGACTCTTATTTATGGTCTGCGAACACAGAAGACCGGGTAAGGAATTCTATTAACCCGGGAGAAGGTGTGAGGCACTCCCGAGTTCCGTGTTTTAGCACGGTCGCTCAACTATTAATAATTGGCCTAATTATCTGATTAATTACATATTTAGAACATATTGTGCATGTTTTAACTTTTAACCGCTTTTAGTATTTATGGAATTATTTCTGGAACAAGTCACAATGTCATACACTTGTCATTTTGTTACACGTTGCAAACCACGCCACATGAAATGCACCCGCGATTTACGGCATGTTTATTTATTATTAATCGAAGTTATGGTCGGGTCACATGAAATGCGCACCAGAATTGGAGATTACGTATCGTGATCATGCCAGGGGAACCGTACCCATAACCACGATAATTTATTAATCGCGCCTAAAACAAGCTACGATGTTCATGAGTGATTTTCTTAAACTACTATGAGATTATTGTAAAGATCCGTGAATTATGGAATAAATTTGTGGAGAAAAGTAAAGTAAATTAGTTATAGAAAGGTGAGCTATCTTGTAGCCTTATTGACATTTGGGCCAGCTTCAATTGTATTACTCTTGGGCCACACATAATTCTTTTTGGTCCAAGTCCTTTTCTAGCTTAAACCAACACACAGCCCATTTTAATATTTCTACACTATGTTAACATGGCCCAATATGATTACTACCCAACCTACAAGAATTATACGAACAGTCCATAAATTAAATGGAACAAATAATTTCCTACATTAATCCTATCAACTACTCCTGCCCATTTAAGATATCAAAGTAACGAAAAGGCAAAGAAAACAAATACAATCGTCAGTTCATTACATTAAAATAAGCATCCCTACAGTAATTAGCAAAGAAAACAAAAGACAAGGTAGCTGAACATATAGAAATGGGCAGAGGAGTAAAAATGGACCTTGAATGAACAACGAAACTTTAATTTCTGACCGGCTTTCGTCGGACAAGGAACCTTAAACACGAGTGAATTGAACGGCGACCTAGATGGTGATCTCAAACTCGACTTTGGGAGCCGTTGTTTTGTTAGAAATAAAGATTTGCGGAAGCTAAGAAGTGTTCCCGTGGTGGAAACTCAGAGAACTAGAGAGAAGTTGAGGAATATCTGATCTCCTTTTATTGAAAATGAATTCTGTTTCTTTCTAGAATAGTCCATAGTCTTTATATACTTACAGAAAAGAAAAGGCTATACAAACAAATGTAGGCTATACAAACAAATGTAAAAATGGGCTATCTTCCTAAGTAGTACACAACTGAAAATAGTATAGCTATTGGGCTGGGCCTGCTGTCAGTTGGGTTGTGTGAGACTGTGTGAATTTGTATAGATCAACACCCCTCCCCCCCCCCCCCCTCAAGCTTGGGGGTGATAACACTCCGAGCTTGCCAAGTAAAGAGTGATGGAGAGGACCAGGAAGAGCCTTTGTCTTAATATCAGCAAGTTGAGCAGAACTGGGCACAAAATGCAGAGAAATCAACCCAGAGTTGAGACTCTCACGCACATAGTGACAATCAATCTCGATATGCTTTGTCCTCTCATGAAAGACCGGATTCTTGGCAATGTGTAAAGCAACAATACTGTCACAGTATATAGGAACAGGAGCAGAAATATGTAGACCAAGATCACCCAATATTCGGACCAACCAAGAGACCTCTGCAACCACTTTGCGACGAGCCCTGTATTCAGCTTCAACAGATGATAATGAAACAGTGGGCTGCTTTTTGCTTTTCCAAGAGATTGGGGAACCACCAAGTGTAATATAAAATCCAGAAACAGACCTCCTTGGCTCACCACAAGCAGCCCAGTCAGAATCTGTAGGCCTTGATAGAGACATCAAAAGAAGAAGACAAGAGGATCCCTAAATCAGGAGCATTGGATAGATACCTCAACACATGAAGGGCAGCAAGCATATGAGGAACTTGAGGGGCCTGAAGAAACTGACTAAGGTGTTGAACACTAAAAGATATATCAGGTCTAGTATGTTGGAGAAAGTTGAGTTTGCCAATAATTCTCCTATATGAGCTAGGATCAGCAAAAGGGGCTTTTGGTTGAGGTCCCGGGGGCCTCGGGGTGATTTCGGATGGCTATCGGGAAGATTATGATCTTGGGAAAATTTCAGAGTTTTTGCTGTTGCTGGTATTTTTGCACCTGCAACTTAGGGACCGCAGGTGCGGTGTCGCACATGCGGGGGAATAACCGCAGATGCGGTTTTGGAGGAGGAAGGCTGGAACCGCAGATGCGGTGGGTGGCCGCACCTGCGGAGCCGCATATGCGGTTGGTGGACCACAGATGCGGTTTGGGCCAAGTGATGATTTTCCGCAGAAGCGGTCGAGGTGGCCGCATCTGCGAAACCGCAGATGCAGAAATGGTGTCGCAGAAGCGACTTCTGGGATTTTTAGTGAATTTCCGCAGAAGCGGACTTTTAACCGCAAATGCGGTACCGCAGAAGCGGTGGAGGGGTCGCAGATGCGAAAACCCCTGGGCAGAAGGTATATAATTCATCCTTCGGGATTTTTGAAGGGTTTTATCATTTCTAACTTCGGTTGAGGGCTTTTGGGCGATTTTGAAGAGGGATTTCAAGAGAACTTCGATAAGGTAAGGATTTTTGACTCAAACACAATCCTATGGTGTTATTTCATGAATTTAGACTGAAAATTTAAGAAATCATGGACTAAAAAAAATGGTGTTTTAGGTCTTGAACTTAAGAGAGCAAAAGTTGAGGTTTTGAAGGGTTAATTGAACTCCGATTCTTGTGTTTTTGATATGTATAAACTCGTGGGGAGATAAGGAGTCTAATGATGAGAAAATTTCTGAGTTTCGAGAAGTGAGCCCGGGGCTCGGGTTTTGCTAATTTCGAGATTTGTGTCCGTTGTTGATTGTTTTTGCTTGGTCTTTGCTCCCTTAGCATATTGTGACGTATTCGCTCTGTTTTTGGATAGATTCGACGCGCGTAGAGGCCGACTCAAGAGGCAAAGGCGTCGCGAGCTAGATGTTTAGCCCGTTCGAGGTGAGTAATGATTGTAAAGGATATCCTGAGGGTTTGAAACCCCGGATTGCAGATCTTAGTGCTATATTAAGGTGACTTACACACCGGATAGCGAGCGTGGGGTAGAGCACCGTTGGGGATTGTGACTTGGTCCGTCCCGATTGATGATTTTACTGTGTAACTGACTAAAACTTATTTGTTATCATCATGACTTGGGCTGATTGCCATATTTGGGCTTCGTGCCAGCTATTTGAACCCCTTCGTGGATGGTCGTTGATATTCCCTCACTGTTTTGATTTTATACTTGAACTCAGTCATGTATTTTTTCACTGTTTTCAAAACTCAGCCAAGTTTACTTGCTTTAACACTTGAATTGATATTTCCAATAATATTTTGGGCTGAGCATCATGTTTATTGTTGCTCGAGTGGCTTATGTGATTTTGTTGACTGAGTTAGGCCGAGGGCCTGTATTGTGAGGATACTTTTGGATCGGGCTACACGCCACAGCAATATATATATATATATATATACGGATCGGGATGCACGTCACAACAGTGTTATACTGATACTGGTATGAGGCCAAGGGCCTAGATTTGATGCCACGAGATGGCTTGACATTGCGCTTGGGCCGTAAGGGGCCCCTCCCGGAGTCTGCACACCCCCAGTGAGCGTCGTCGACGATAAATGGATCGGGCTGCACGCCGGAGCGATATGTGGATCGGGCTGCACGCCACAGCAGTACTAGTACTATTCTATGTGCTTACTTTATTTCATTTGTTTGCCATTATTTGTTGTCTGTGTTACTTCACAGGGTATCTACCGGATTGCTTGGCATTATCTGTTGAGTGAGTGTTGTGCCCGAGGGGCGGATTTCTATGCTTATCTGCACTAATTGTTTTGCATTTGTTCGCATAACCGTTGAAAAAGTCATTTTCAAAAGAGGTTTGAATTGAGCTAAGATGTTTTTCTAAAGATTTCACAGCTTCACTGCTTTTTCTCAAGGGGTTTTATACTGCTTCTATACAGCATGATGATTTGCCTTTCTTACTGCTCAGTTATTTACCTTTATTATTCACTGAGTTGGAGTACTCACTTTACTCCATGCACCTCGTGTGCAGATGCAGGTATTTATCCACCCGTTAGCGGGTTTTGGCTGATCAGAGGCAGAGTTATAGGAGTTAGCGAGGTGACTGCCAGCGTTCGCAGCACCATTTTCCTCTCTTTTGTTCATTATTCCGATTTTGTACTTTTTAGACCTTGTAGTTGGGTTTACACTCTAATAGATGCTCGTGACTTGTGACACCCCGATTAGGGCTGTGTTGGGTTGTATTTTCGCTAATTAATATCATGAAACCATATTTAAACTGTTTATGAATTGTTTAACTGCTTAAAAGAGGTGTTCTGGAATGGTCTGGCTGGCCTTGTCTTCACGAGAGATGCCATCACGACCGGAGCGGAGTTTGGGTCGTGACATAAAAGGTGTTTGTGTTTCCTTTCCACAACACCGTTCTGTTGTGGTGTGTGAGGAATAGTGGTCTGGTGGAGGATTCCTTGGGAAGAAAAGAATGACCTGGACTCTAGACTAGAACCTAGTTCAAATGCATTATCAGACCTGAAAGTCTGAACAGAAGTGTGAAAATGAGTCTGTACCATAGAAGTGAAGGCTTTAAGCACAGACATGACATTGCTTTTACTAGAGAGTAGGTGAGTCCAGGTTACCCTGGAGTAGTCATCTACTAAAGTGAGGAAGTATCTAAAACCATTATATGTGGCAGTGTTATAAGGTCCCCAAATATCAATGTGAACCAACTGGAAGAGAGCAGTAGAATGAGTAGTACTATCAGAAAATGGCATCCTTTGCTGCCTAGCCATAAGACAAATAGGACATATAAAAGATTGTTTAGAAGAAGTTTGTGAGGAAATAAAAGGGATAGATTTCATTCTATTGAAAGGCATATGACCCATTCTTTGATGCCAAAACAAATCTGTTTTATTGATATCAAAAGATGGATTACATGAGGGACTAATGGGAAGGGGATTGGCAGAATTGAAAATAGGAGAAACAGTAGAAGCAGAAGTTGAAACATTACATGAAGCATCAAATGTAAAAGGAGAAACTAAAGGGCTATCATCAAGATGAAGAAAATACAATCCATTGTCAGCCTTACTAATTCCCAATGGCCTCTTCAGAGAAGGGCCCTGTAAGAAACAATGGGAAGTAGTGAGAACTGCAATACAATGAAGTTGTAAAAGAAGTTGATATATTGAAATTAAATTGAACTAAAATGATGGAACAAGAAGAACATTGTGTAGCACAATATCAGACCTAAGTTGTAAAGATCCAGTAGATACAACCTTTACTTTATAGCCATTTGGTAAACTAATTAAGTAAGGTCTAGTTAGTGGTTGAAGGTTGTGAAGAAAGTGTTTGTGAGGTGTCATGTGGTTAGTTGCCCCTGAATCTAGAATCCAAGTATCAACATTTAATTGTGAAGATGCACAAGCATGAAAATCCACAGAGTTAACTACAGAACTGCAAAACAAACCTGCAAAGTGAGCATATGCATGATTATCCCCGGAATGAGAGTCACTTAAGTTTGCAGAAGAAATGTGTGATTGCTTCAGGAGAGTAAGTAGGTGTTGATACTGTTCAGTAGTGAATCCATGGTTGACAGGTGGAAGATGTTCCATGGGTGAGCCTAGTGCTGTAGAAGCAGTACCCTCAACGTGAACACATGATGTTGATCTCTTGCTTTTGGTAAACTTAAAATCAGCAGGAAAACCATGAAGTTTATAATATTTTTCAATAGCGTGACCTGGTTTTTTGCAGTATCTGCATGACATGGATTGTCCAGGTTTCTTTGGTTCAAACTGAACCTTCTTATTAAATGATCTTTGCCCAGTAGGATATTGTGGGTATGCTGAAGAAGTAGTGGAAGCAGAAAAGGAGACAGAATCACTAGAAAAGTTTAGGGCTGGAGAGGTTTCCCTTTGTCTCTCATCATGTTGTAACATGGTTATAAGCTTTACTAACTGATGGAATTGGTGAGATTATGAGGATGTTGCTCTTGACAGTATTATATGACTCATTCAGTCCAGCCAAGAACCAATACAGTTTCATCTCATCAAGAAATTTTGGTAGAGCACCACATGAGCATGTAGGACCTACATATGCAGTCTGAAGCTCATCCCAAAGACTACAAAATTTGGTAAAATAAGAGGCTATGTCTAAGGTACCCTGGGAAATAGTTCCAATGTCCCTTTGTATCTGAATGAATTTCGAACCATTAGACTGACCAAACCTCTCCTTTATGTCTGACCAAATTTCTTTTGCAGTGTCATCCCCTAGAACACTAGTGGCAATATCTCTAGATAGGGAATTAGTGATCCATGCAACCACCATATCATTGCACCTTTCCCAGTAAGGATAATAAGGTGAATCACTAGAAGGTTTAGACTGACGACCATCAATCGGTGCCAATTTATTTTTGGCAGAAAGGGAAACTAGCATACTTTTACGCCAGGCAACAAAACCAGTACCATCGAAAGGAGGAGATACTAGATGAGTGCCGGGACTGTCTGAAGGATGAATATAAAGGGGATGTGAGGGATCTAAAGTGAAAACAGCGAAACCATCGGATTGATTAGAGAGATTCACACTCTTATCACCCATTATGTATCTAAAATCCTCAATCACAGTAGGAATTTACCAAAATTGAAACATGCATTTAAAAATTTGAGAAGAAAATATCGTCCTTTTTCGCAACCCGAAAAAGACAAGGCCTTCAAAGTCGACTAAACTCCGGAGAGGAAGAAGAAATACTGGTTGAAATCAGAGAAATGCCGCGAACGAGCCGCCATTATCTTCAGAGAACATAACTGAGATGAAAAGCCCCAAATCAGAACTAGGGTTTCGATAAAACCAAAATTTGTAGTCAACGACTCTACGGGTACGATCGGATGGAGATAATCGATGACAGGAACTCATATCCTGCCCTGATACCATGCTAGAAATGAAGATTTGCGGAAGCTAAGAAGTGTTCCCATGGTGGAAACTCAGAGAACTAGAGAGAGAAGTTGAGGAATATCTGATTTCCTTTTATTGAAAATGAATTCTGTTTCTTTCTAGAATAGTCCATAGTCTTTATATACTTACATAAAAGAAAACGCTATACAAACAAATGTAGGCTATACAAACAAATATAAAAATGGGCTATCTTCCTAAGTAGTATACAACTGAAAATAGTATAACTATTGGGCTGGGCCTGCTGTCAGTTGGGCTGTGCGAGACTGTGTGAATTTGTATAGGTCAACATGTTTTCGTGCGAAAGGAGACTATTTTTCTGCGTTTTTGTCTGATTTTGGAGGTTGTTCGGCTGCTTTTAATGATGATTTTGAGCTGAAGAAAATGGTATCATTTCAGCAAGTTTTGGGATTGTTTTAAGGGGCTGTTTCAAGTCAGTTTTCGTGGGAGATGGTGGCTGGTTATAAACTGGATTTTCAGCTCGTTTTTGGAACTTTTTTTAGGTCGTTTTTGGGGGTGTTTGAGCAGCTGTTAGGTGGTGATTTTAATCTGGGTTTGGGGGCTGGTTTAAGGCTGAAATAGTAGAGTTTTAATGGAGAAAAGGGGCTGCTTTCATGGTTGTTTGGGCGGCCATTTTGCTGGAAAAATGAAGCTCTTCTTTTTGGTTTTTATGGAGTTTCAAGGCTCATTCACGGTGGTTTTGGGTTGTTTTTGTGGCCAGATTCCTTTGGAGAAAATGATGTTTGGTGGCTGTTATAGGTGGCTTAAAAGAGGAACTACAATCAAGTTAGTTGGTGAAAGCTCTGTTTTGGAAAAGAGGGGGTGGGTTCTTAGCCCTTTTGGAATTTTTAGATCTGCCCGTTTTTTATTTTTTTCTATGGGAGGGGATCTAGAATTAGGTCTAGGTTTTGGGAAAGTTCCCTTTTTAAAGAGAGGGAATTAGGGTGTATTTTAGAGATTAGGGGATCTTGGGTTTTGGGTAGTGGGATAGGCGAATTGGGTTAAGTTTTGGGCCAATTTGGGCCATGACTTGGTCATTTGGACAAAGCAAGACTTTAGTAGAAATAGTCCAAATTAAAATTTCGTTCCTTTTTTTGTGATTTTGATTTTTTTCTTTTATTGATCAATAGATAAAAATAAAAAATGTGCCTCTTTTATTGGAATTTTTTTTCTTTATTTGTAAATGAAGATAAAACTTATATTAAAAATGTGCCTCTTTTTTTTCATTGTTTTTCATTTTCTTAAATAAAATATATATATATAAGGAGAAATAAGAGATAAAATATGTAGATTAAACTTAAAATATATTTACCTACTAAAAGTGATGAAAAACTCAAATATAGTAAAAAATTAGGTGCTCACAGTTGCCCCTCTTTGCTTGGAAATATGAAGAGTTTTCAGGCAAAGACAAAGTGAGCTATGTGACTAATTTTTTGCCATATTGTTATTCAAAAGAGGAAGAAAATAAAAGAAAAAGGTGTAATCGAGTCCTGGTTTTGGACAGCCTAGATATCCCGGGTTATAAGGGAATCAGGTCGCGTGTAGTTCAAGGAGAATGATGGAGTGATGAATTCGAGAGTCGAGTGAGGTTCCATCGAGGCTCCGGTACGTGGTCCTGTTATTACATCAAAATCAAAATTAAAAAGACTAACTAAGCCTATCAGCTACGAGTTACAAGATTTCTATCTATGAGTCTTCTGAAGCTTGATCTTGAGTCTTGGTTGGTTCTTCATGCGGACTCTGACCTGAATCGTGATGCTTGTTAGCTTCAGGTGCTGGTTCATTCCTTTTTCAACTTCTCGGATCAAGGCGGGACATGCAAAGCTTGTGACTTCAATCTGTTTGAGCAGTCCACATTTTTTCTTCGCTTCTGCACTTTGAGTTCACTTCTTTTTCTTTTTCTTTTTCTTCTATTTTCTTTTATTCTGGATTGAGACTCCTTCTTTTGATCGTCTCGAACCCTGTGCCTCGAGGTATAACCTGCTCAGGCACCAAAATAATCAAACGAACGAAATTTTTCTGCTCCAGTTTTCACCAGGAAAATTTCGTGAGTTATTTGTAACCAAGACTCTATAGTACTTCATTATTAAAAGCAATAAAAGTCAGAATTGTGTACCCTGAAAATATCATGATGATTTTTTTTTGGATAGTGTTCCTTTATTGTCCAAAAGATGTATCAACTAAGGATTGGGGTACCTTATGTTGGGAGAATGTGGCCAGGGAATGGTGCGCCCTATATTGGTAAAGATATCAGGCAGTGGTGTACCCTGCATTTAAGATCCAATCAGCTAGGGAGTGGATACCCTATGCTAACATGCGAATGTTTTTTTTTATTTTCTTTTAAGCAAAAACATCTTTTTTTATAAATATATTGCCTGAACGCTTATTCTCTGAGGGTGTGAACAAACGATTTTTTTTCCAAACCAGACTTCTTCTTTTTTAATTAGCCTAGGAGAAAATTCATCAGACTAGGTTTTTTTTTGGTAATCTTAGGAGAAAGATTCATCAGACTAAGATTTATATCCTAGGAGAAAGATTCATTAGTCTAGGGTTCTTATCTTAGGAGAAAGATTCATCAGACTAAGACGTTTATTCTAGAAGAAAATTCATCAGACTAGGTCTCTTATCTTAGGAGAAAGATTCATCAGACTAAGATTTGTAATGCTAGGAGAAAGTTCATCAGAGTAGGTGTTTTATCTTAGGAGAAAGATTCATCAGACCAAGACACTTATCCTAGGAGAAAATTCGTCAGACTAGGGCTTTTTTTTGTTATCTTAGGAGAAAGATTCATCAGACTAAGATTTATATCCTAGGAGAAATTCATCAAACTAGGTTCCTTATCTTAGGAGAAAGATTCATCTTGCTAAGATTTCTAACCCTAGGAGAAAATTCGTCAGACTAGGTTTTCTTCTTCTTTTTTGTTATCTTAGGAGAAAGATTCATCAGACTAAGATTTCTTATCCTAGGAGAAGATTAATCAGACTAGGTTTTCTTATCTTAGGAGAAAGATTCATCAGACTAGGTTTTCTAATTTATTATCTTAGGAGAAAGATTCATCAGACTAAGATTTATATACTAGGAGAAATTCATCAAACCAGGTTCCTTATCTTAGGAGAAAGATTCATCATACTAGGATTTCTAACCCTAGGAGAAAATTCGTCAGACTAGGTTTTCTTCTTCTTTTTTGTTATCTTAGGAGAAAGATTCATCAGACTAAGATTTCTTATCCTAGGAGAAAATTAATCAGACTAGGTTTTCTTATCTTAGGAGAAAGATTCATCAGACTAAGACGTCTATCCTAGGAGAAAGTTCATCAAACTAGGTTTTCTAATTTATTATCTTAGGAGAAAGATTCATCAAACTAAGATTTATATCCTAGGAGAAAATTCATCAGACTAGGTGTTTTATCTTAGGAGAAAGATTCATCAGACCAAGACATTTATCCTAGGAGAAAATTCATCAGACTAGGGCTTTTTTTTATTTTTTTTTTTTTGTTATCTTAGGAGAAAGATTCATTAGACTAAGATTCATATCCTAGGAGAAAATTCATCGGACTAGGTTTCTTATCTTAGGACAAAGATTCATCAGGCTAAGATTTCTAATCCTAGGAGAAAATTGTCAGACTAGGTTTTCTTCTTCTTTTTTTCTTGTTATCTTAGGAGAAAGATTCATCAGACTAAGATTTCTTATCCTAGGAGAAAATTAATCAGACTAGGTTTTCTTATCGTAGAAGAAAGATTCATCAGACTAAGACGTCTATCCTAGGAGAAAGTTCATCAGACTAGGTCTTCTCATTTATTATCTTAGGAGACAGATTCATCAGACTAAGATTTATATTCTAGGAGAAAATTCATCAGACTAGGTTTCTTATCTTAGGAGAAAGATTCATCAGACTAAGATTTTTATCCTAGGAGAAAGATTCATCAAACTATGTTTTCTAATTTGTTATCTTAGGAGAGAGATTCATCAAACTAAGACGTTTATCCTAGGAGAAAGATTCATCAGACTAGGTTTCGTATCTTAGGAGAAAGATTCGTCAGACTAAGATTCTCTTTTCTTTTTGTTACCTTAGGAGAAAGTGTAACAACCCGACTGGTCGTTTTGCTTTCTAGAATCTCGTTCGCCTAAATAAGACTCCCCGTACTTGCTTTAACTGATTTACGACTTGCGGGGATAATTGGTTCGGGATTTGGAAGAGTTTGGATTGAAATCGGAACACTTAGTTCCTTAAGGTTGGCTTAAAAGGCCAAGTTTGACTTTGGTCAACGTTTTTAGTAAACAGACCCGGACTTGCATTTTGACGGTCCCGGAGGGTTCGTAGGAAAATATGGGACTTGGGCGTATGCCCGGAATCGAATTTCGAGGTCCCTAGCCCGAGTAATGAATTTTTTGTTAAAAATTGTTAAACTGAAATTCTAAGGATTTAAAGAATTGAACAATAATTGATCACGCTGGTATCGGACCCGTATGTTTGTTCCGGAGCCCGGTACAGGTTGAATATAATATTTAAGTCTTGTTTGTGAAATTTGGTGAGAAACGGGACTGATTTGACGTGATTCGGACGTTCGGTTGTAAAAATAGGAATTTTGAATGTTCTTAAGGATTTCATGCGTTTTGGAGTTGAATCTGTAGTTTTAGATGTTATTGTG